TGCCCTTTCTCTGCTGCCCCAATGCCACCGTTGGTGGAGCTGCACCCATGCTTCAGCAAGTCTCCAAGACATCGCACTTATCTCGTTGTCTAATCTTGCTCTGAGCAAGTCTGTGCAGCTTGGCACTAATAACCCTGGCAGCTGTCTAGATCATGAGCAGTACCTACAAGATGGCAGTGTTGAGAAGTGACTTCACTAGGTCAAGTATTGTACAAACACACGATAAAAGACAGTGCAAGCTTAAATAAACAGGGAGAGGATGGAAGAAATCCTCTTTTAACAGGTGGAGAATAGAAGCACTGAAATTCGGTGATTTACTTCAGGTTACACAAGGATGCACAGACCACAGGAAACGCAGGTTGCCAGAATCATTCTTTGCTGCTTTAAATACAGGACAAATTTCCATCACCTTTCCTCACACAATCTTAAAAAAGATCACATGGAGCTTTGGGAATTTACATGTGGGATATTCAGTTAGTGGATGCTGGAGTGCATCTGCAAATGCTCGGATGGGACAGAGTCTGGCAGCAGCAGGTGTGCGAGATACCTGCTGTTGACTGGGACTATCTAGCAAGAAAGTAGGGGATTGTTAGAGTGGGCTTCTTGTCTGTTGTCCTTGCTGATGAGACATTCACTGCCACTCCTGTCTCTTCTCCCTGCTACAACAACTAACTTCTCACCCAAGTGCAGTAGGAGAGCAGCTGCTTAGTGGTGGGAAGGACAGCAATCCTTGGCACCAACAAAGGTAACTACAGCCCCACTCAGCTGGTTAAACAGGGACTCGGCTGTGCTGCCATGCCTGTTACAGGAAACCTGTGACCTTTCTGAGCCACCTCTGTAAATATCTAAGCCCGGAGGGAAATTTGTCTTAGGTTCCTCCTAGAAATGTTCTGTTTTAATCAGGATTGTTGCTGGTTTTTCTGTAGGAAGGGCATCAGACAACACGAAGCACGGTGAACTGTCAGGTAAATGATGTTAAAATCACCTGATTGCATTCAGCCTTGATGTTAATATTGCCAGCTGCTGTGAAATCACCCTGAGTCACCTCTGTCAAATCTGTTAAAGACCAGCAGGAAGAGCTGTGCTCCTCTAGCACTGGTCAAGAGGCTTTGTTAGAATAATCAAAGCATTATTGCTGCTAAAGCAAACGTACATATCTCTGGGCCTTGCGGTGGGTTACCGTTCAGATTGTCCCAGCCTCACTGCTTGGTCTCCCCGTACATTCCCAAAGAAACATTGTATGTACCTTCACTGGCCCTGCTTGCCCCCGTTCAGGTAATTTTCTGAGCAAATGATCTGTATTTTACCAAACAATAAAAATTAATGTTTTCACTTGATGCTTTCATTTCATTTGTGGGGAGGCCCACGTTTCACTGCTGACTGGTTAAATGTGGTGGTAAAAGGTACCATCTTGTGGATCTTGGTACACTCATAGCATCCTTTTGAGGAGAGAGTACTTGCAGGGTGGAAGCATGGGTGCATTTAGGAAGAAGCTTGGTACAGGCTGATTCCCCTTCTATCTGCTCCCCTGGAATAACTCGGTTTGCTGTTATTTAGAAGAAAAATAAAAATCAGCTTACGTGTTCTGTTCTGTAGGGACAGATTTTTTTTTCTTTCCTGGAATGCAAATATGCTTTAATGTCAAGAGGAAAATGACATGCAGGGGGAGAAGGGCCAGAGCAGTCATCGACTGATTTTATGGCATGGTGGGCCTGCCAATTCCCATTGGTCTGCCCTTCTCTCTCTTGCACCTTGGAAGCTTTAATTGAAGTGAGTGTAGTTTATTGATTTTTAGCATAAGGTAATGTGTTAATAGTCAGAGGAGGTCAAAGTAACTTTAGGCCAGTCTAGAGAGGATGTAATGAGACATTAAGGACATGTAGTGGATTAAAGATCTGATCGTGTTTTCAATGAAATCAGAAGTTCCTTTAATTTTAGCAGCAAAAGTCCAAGCCATAAGAAGGGAAAAGTTTACTATTTCTTTATCTAAAGACAAAATTATTGTCTTGAAGAAAGAAAAAGCAAGGATTTGGAAAGTGAGCACATTAAAGTATTATCTAACTCTGGTTTTAAGAGATTTTTTTTTCTTACATACTTACATTTGGCTCAATTAAGCCATAAAGGCACAACTTCAGTGGGATGTTGAGGAAGCAGTTGTATTCTAAAGCAAAGTTTGAAGGTTTTTTTCAAGCTTTCCTATGGAGAAGTGGACTGTGAAGAGCAACTTCAGTCCATGGAAAATAATAGGCTTGTTTTGGCTTTTTTTTTTTAGCCTTTTTAGATCCAGTAAAAATGAAGACTACAAGGAGATCGCAAAGTTTGTAACAAGAAGTGTTCCTGTAGCTTATAGAGATGTCTGAGAGCACCTCCTGCTGTAGTCCAGTGAGCAAAGTATTTTCTGTATGATTCCTTCGTTCTCCTGTGAGGGATAGTACCACAGTGCCACTGTCTACCATCTTCATAATTTTCTTGTTGTTGCGGGTGAAGCCTATGTGAGTCTGAACTGGCAAGAGATCAAACTGTTCAAATGAATTTAGCGGCATTTAACAAGATCATTTACAGCAGATCTCATGCTCTATAGCACTATGTGCTATGGTCAAAATGGATGTTTAGAGCAGTGATTCCAGAGGCTGGCTCCTCTCCTGTGTCCAATCTGTAGTTATATTCTAAGATTATGCTATTTTATGTAAACTACCAATACTATATAGTAGTATGATGTCCTCTTGGCTCTAAGGATTCCTAACATCTTTCTGCTGCAATGAAATTCTATAAAACAAAGATGAAAAATTATGCTGTATTTACAACCAATAGAACATATGAATGCTTGCTGTTTGGTAGCATAATGAAACTGCTAACTCAGGGTCTAATTTTGCCATTACAAATAGAGTGAATGTACTATTAGTGTGTGATAATAATGCAAGATATAGCTTATTTTTTACTAAACTTGACTGTACTGTATACGTCTGCACAATTTTTTGTATTCTGAAAGCAAGGCAGATAGGTTTGCTATGTGTATTCATAAAGTTATGTGCTTAAATATTTTCTTGAAAACAGCTTAATCATTAATATTTACCAAGCACTCATAGTCTATCCTGTCTGTCCTCCCTCCCTCTCTCTCTTCTTCTTCTTGAGAGAGAAAGAAATACGTCTTTGTGTGTACTGCACATATATGTATGAAAAATAAACTTCCTCGCTGGCAAGTAAACCCAAGAACAATGTTGCTAGCAGCTGTTGTGCTTAAAGCCCAGTTGAGAACACTGTTCCGTTATGAGCTCTCAATGCTCTTCTCAACATCAGTAATCAACGTGCCAGGACAATGTATTGTAAACCCAAACGCCCAGGCCAGGAGACCACAAAAGCTCCTCTGTCTTGTGCGAGGGAACTGAAAAGAGGCTTTCACAGCGCTGCAGAATATGCTGGCAGACTGTACCAGTTCAGAGCCCTCAGTGTTCCGCAAGATGTTTATCTACAAGAAGGGCAAATCTTGTCTAATCCTTGGTTAAGAAGCTACTATAACTGTTATTTTTTAAAAATGAGAAGAATCATATGTATGTGTCGAAGACAACCATCAGATAATTACAGGCTGCTCAGTGGCTGCATGAAGTGCAGGAACTGAAAAGGTCTCTGTGCTCCTTCCAGCAGGAGAAGGACATCTCCATATCTACTCTCACAAACAAAAAGCAAGACCTAGCCTTTAAAAACAAAAATACAGCTATTTCCTCCTATTTTATAAAATAGTCATTTCTATAGTCAACCATTTTTGCAAGCAGAAAGTTACAAAGCCAAAGAGTTTGATAACAACAGTGGTAGTTTTTCTTAAAGATGAAATCACGAGCTAATAAGCACCCAGTTCTTTGATTTTCACTTAGGTTTGTAACTTTCAAGTTGTTGGGAACAGTCAACCTCCATTGGGTAAAATGGCACCAAAGTAAAACCAAAAAACTTCTCATTGCATTGTCCATCTAAAAAGGAAGGTACCTACTGGGTTTTTTAGGAAGTTTTGCTAGACATCAGTGGAAGCACTGAGCAACAATATTTCAGGGAGAGAAAGATCAACTTGGCATACAGAATACTGGTTTTTGTAATTTTATTTTAAATGAAATTACATTCAGATACAGCCCAGTTATATTAGCAGAGATTTAAGCAAATGTTTAAAGCTAACAAACTCCTATAATTATTATCTTAGCTTCACAATTCTTTTGTCATTGATACTGATTATGAGCTCAGGGTAAATTCACTCTTTTGCATTACCCAGATTCAAAATCACAATCATGTTAAAAAAATACAAAAATGTCTAAAATTTCACTTTCCAACCTAACTTAGAAGAATAATAAAACTGTTGAAATGCCTCATTAAAAAGCCACATTGACATGATTTACAGCTGTACAAACTGTTGTTTAAGACAAGCATTATAGGATAAGTGATCAAAGCAGTGCTGAAGATTTGAAGCAGAATTTTTCCCACTACGCTTACGCAGACTTTTCTGGCTAAATTACAAATAAAAAAGACTTTGAAAATGTACTCTTAAATTCACCAGAATAAAAAAAGCCCAAATAACTGTGCCTGAGAGAAAAGAGGCGGCCATATTCTACGGTGCATACTCACACTCCAAATTCCCAGGATGTGGAATGCTACTGAAACAAGGCGTTTCCTTGCGCCTGATGTACTTGATATTTGGCTAAGATCTGCACAGAAAACGAGGAGAAACACATCCTGCACCTGACAAGGTGAGCAGTCTGCATGCTGGAAAAGAACTGAGTACTGCTGAGTAAGGCAACCGAGACAAAGTATGGCTTAAGTGCAATCTGGTTAAGGCAGAGTACGTATTTTTGAAGCTGTCACTTCTTCTGCTTCCACTTAAGAGCACTAGTGCACTAGAATGTGTTTAAGAGCTTTGGTTAAAGAGACCTGGTGGAGTGGAGGTGGTTCACAGAGATAAATCTAAAGAAATTCATTACAATAAGCTAGACAGTCCCTCAAAAAAACCTTTGGCGACTTCATATTCTTACAGCCATTCAGTCCGAAGCTCCAAATATATGTACTAACAAGACAAACAAACATGTGAAGCACAGCTTTCTCAAAATACCCATCCCTTATTTGCCTCCTGCAAGACACAGCTCCCACTCTGGATCAGGCATCATCTGAAATTTTACGTGAGCGAGTGTGGCAATATTTTGGCCTAGTAAGTAAATCATGTCCAGTCCTGCCCTTGCAACAGATGTAGAATTAGTCCTTTATCAGGCCAAATTCTGCACAATATTATGCTGACCTTAATCTAAAGGAATTTTTGTGGCATTAATTTGGATTTTTCAGTGAAGGCAGAATTTGGCCCATTTTAGCACATTAAACTAAACTGATCCACAGCTTCTGTTTGAAGAATCAACAGATTATACAAAGTATTGGTAGCACTTTCCATATTTACTACATGAAAAGCCCCAGTCACCCCATTTGACCAGTTTACAATTATCATTTATCCTTTCCAGTGCTAAGAATTTCTAGGTTATTCACAGAAAGACATCAAAGCTCGGGAAAGTGTAACAGATGCATCATATTGTTGCATAAGCTTATGGTTAAAAATACTAGAAAGTAGCTGGGCTCTGATCATTCTTTGGCTTGAAGCTGAAGCCTCCTCAGATAGATCAGTTCTTCCATTTGTTGGAGTCCCAAGCCAGGAACCAGCCTGTGAATGTTGGGGGTTCGTGCCCCTGCTTCACGATTACAATGGGGGTCCCCTTATCTCTGCCAGAAGGATCTGTTTCAATATAGCGTTTGGCTAAAAACAGAGATGAAATAAAACGTGTAATATATTAGCTCATTCCTTCAGTATAAAAAAATACATTAAAAGCCCTAGTGAAAGAACCCAGGGTTACTATAATACAGTATTCAATTAAATTATTTCAAAGGCAATGAAATGATCAGGTAATTGCTGATTTCTCCCAGCTGCCAGTGAAGGCATTTTCCAGGAGGTTAAAACAGAGGGATTGTTGCTCTGATCAGTTCATTGCCATACAGCTGGGTTTTGGCTCTTGAACAGGAAAAAGAATTTGCTGGTGCTGTGCAGATGCACAAGCTTCATTCCTGTTCTTCCTATGTAAAAGCCAGTATAGGTTCCCTTGACATCGCAACGTGACATCAGTACATATCGGAAACACAGCTAGGTGACCCTAGCTGCTCCAGGGAAATATCTGCAAGCGTTGTTAGTACGAACTTTGTCAGAACAGCTCAGCTATGTGAAATCACACCAGAGATGACACGTGATTTTTCAAGGAGGTGCACTCCATGTCAGTTGTCTTGATTTGTTCTGCAATTGGAATTTCCTCCTCCAAATTTAACTCAGTGAAAGGTGGCAGTGTAAGGACTTGAGGATTTGTTGGCATTCCTTTGACTAAATACATTAGTGTAGGGTGCAGCTCAGTAGGTATCTCCTTTTAAATTCTCTTTTCAGTGCAGTTTCTTTTCATGGAGCTCTCCTATACATTCTTTAAAAAGCTCTGCAGCCTAGCAGTGCTATCTTGATTAATTTTACCCTTCATAAACTTACAGATAAGAAAGATACAATGAGTTTTAAAGAAATTCTCTTTTCAGTGCAGTTTCTTTTCATGGAGCTCTCCTATACATTCTTCTCTGCACTCTGCAGCCTAGCAGTGCTATCTTGATTAATTTTACCCTTCATAAACTTAGAAAGATACAATGAGTTTTAAAGCACATTTAAAGGAGAAAATAATCTTCTCCGGGATTAAATCCTAATTTAACCCTATTAACCTAATAATTTTACCCTTCATAAACTTACAGATAAGAAAGATACAATGAGTTTTAAAGCACATTTAAAGGAGAAAATAATCTTCTCCGGGATTAAATCCTAATTTAACCCTAATTTAACCTAATTTAAGTAATGTTGATGCTACTTCACTCAGAATTCTGCCAAATTGATTTGATTTACCAGATTTAACGGATTCCTGTCGCTCAGTTTCATTAGCATCCTTCCCAATCCAGACGAAAACCTGCAACAGAGGAGAGAAAGCTATAGCTCCCGTGTTGTTATAAGGATGTTGTGTACAGCAGGTAGGAGTACAAAATAGTTGATTCCACTAAGAGAAAGAACATACAATATGAAAAGACTGCAGAGATACACAGCTCTCACAAACCACAATTGATATTTTTTCCCTTGCGAGAGACTGTAGTTCTATCCTCTGAAATCTCACCGCTCTCTTGACACTGGAAGGCCAGATCTTTATGCACTCTGATGAAAGGAACTCTAATTACCTTTTCCATGGATATCTTTTACAATTTGCTGAGGAAATTGCTCTTTAGGTGCAGGTAAAAACACTGACCAGGAGCTGTCTCTGGTTTGAGCTCTGCACGCGCATCAACACTTGTGCCCTGTGATCAGTGCTACCCAGGGTAACCGTGAGATAACCCACTGAATAACCCAACAACCAGAGCCTCTTTCTGCAATCCCCACATTTTTTTTTTTCTGTCAAGGATCCTTTTGGAAACCAGGTACATGTCCCGGACTTCCTTCCTTCTTACCTAAGTCAGTATGTCACAACTACTTTCCATCCAGCTCTTCCACCCACCTTCCCCCATCACTCCTTCCCACGTGGACCTTGGACGTTCCTTCTCATTTCCAAAAACCTCAGCCTTTTTTTCCTTAAGGGTTAGGCTGAAGAAGACAAATAAAGCATGGGATCTGTGGCCTGCTCCCCCTTTCCCTCCAAGGGGAGAGGAAGGGTAGAAAGAATATACTGTGAGAAACAGACGTGCCCTCCGCACCCGCAGAGAGTTTGCCTGTCATCCAAAAAGCTCTCCACATTTTCAGTTTTCAGTGAACCTGGCAAAATGATGGAGATTGTTTCTGTCACCCTCCACCCAGTTCTTCTGAAGAAATCTGTGTAAGGTTCTAGTGTTTGTCCCCTTCTCTAGTAAGACTTTTTGTAGGTCCTGCTGCTACATGGATTTTGTGGCTTCTGAATACCTTCTATGCAATAACTTTCTTTTTTAAAATGAATAAATTTTAGTGACAAAGTCAAGAACATTATTGAGAGCCTTTCAGAACACTGCCGGGGCTTACACTCTTGCAGCCTCCATTGGTTTTAATAGGAAGTGCTTGCCGTGGTCTCACATTATGCTTGGAAATTCAATCGTGTATGTTCACACTAGCACATCATATAGCTCACAAAATACAGCTCCCTCTGGTATAATTTAAAGAAAACAAAACCTCTTGCGTTCTCACAAAGATATTTTTCCTCCCATCTTATGATCTAAGTGGTTAAGAATAAATTATCCTTGTTACCACAAAAAGCAGTGGTCAAGTACACAGCTTACCTGCTCCCAAGCATCCAGCAACATGACATCATCTTCAGCCAAATCGTCCTGAGTGAATTCTCCTGGGACCTCCTCAATCTAAAAAGGATATTATGTTTTGGGGTTTTTTGGTTTTTAATCATTTATCAAGATACTCTGATTTTGCACAGACCAAAGATATTTTTTAAAGGGTAAGTCCAGAAGCTGGTGTGCAATTCTTTTCGCTCCTAAAGGGTCAAGCCCTAAACTGATTTGATGAATGTGTCAAGGGTGTTTCACTGAAAGGAAACAAATCACATAATTGCATGTCCTATAAAATCAGCTCTCAGTTTGTCAGAATTGATAGGATATCCTCAGGAGAGGCAGAGGTTTACACTGTAATTGTGACTATTGTTAAGTTGGGACCGAGGTCTGCCAGAAGAAGGGGAGAGGGAAATTTCCATAGATCACCTTGTACCAAGCAAACTAAATCAATCAGCTGATAGCAGCTGATACATTCATGCAGCTTACATTCATTAATAAGGAAAAGCAACTGCTTTGGTTTGCAGTGGGTGAGCTCAGTGATGAAATACACACCCAAGCAAGCTTTGCAGTCACTTGACAATGGGACATTACAGTTGACTAAGCCATCGAGGATTAATCCCCAAAGGAAAGGCAGACTGCTTGCTTCTTCCAAGGATGTGCAGGCAGATAGGAAAGCAGTTTAATGTTATTCTGTATGAGAAGGAGAGATAATAATGTAGCTAGTGGTCAGCCCTCTACTTTTAAAGGACTGTCAAAGGTTTGGCTATGCTTGGTCATGTAGGAGTGCTAAAGGGGTGGTAAGCAGATGGAGCAGAAGACATTCCTTTTCCCCACCCTGTGTTATGGTGGCCAGAAGGTCAGAGTGATCTGACCTACCTCTTCTGGTGAGCTCTAACAGTGGTGATTCTACGACTAGATAAATGCTACAGGAAAGAGGGGATTTCACAGAATTTGGAGGGAATTTAAAACAAAACCCAAAGAAGTGCATAGCTCCCAGCAGGCTATTACAGAGAGGTTGGTTCCTATTACTGTATTTTAGAAGCTTGTTAGAAGAATACACTTTACTACTCTCATAAGATTTTAAAGTCCTTATTAAAGGATCCTGTTTGTTTTATCCCTCTCCAGATGAATGGGCTGTGCCTTAAGGAGACTGCAGAGATGGTAGCCAACTATGTCCCCTACCTAAAAATTAGTGCATCCTTGCCAAACAGTGACACAGTGTTGCCCTCCCAGAACACGGTAAGTAATTAAGTCTGAATCACCAGCTTAATACCCAGCGCACAGCTCTGGGTATTTCTGCTAAGGAAATAGGTCTTCCTACCTCCTTGAGCACATGGAATACCTTAGAGGCATAATTACATGTCTTAAATCTCTATGGAAAATTTCAGATTGCTAGGGATTTTTGGCAAGGGACATTTCTTTTCCTCACCACCACTGTCAAACACGTAAGGGGCAAGGCACTGACCTGCAGTTTCTCAGTGAAATGATAGCAGTCTGGCAATGCTCTGCAAGAACACAGTTGCTTTTGACTGGGCAATCGCCTTATCTTTTTGCATCCGCAAGCCTCTAGTCCCAGGCTGGAGCAGGCTCTGCGTGCAAACATCTGCGGTATTAATTCTTCTGTTCGTCCTTTGCATTTGGATTGATTTAAAGCACCAAACTTCAACTCTCTAATTCTTGCCAAGCACAGCTAATTAATCCAGATCCCCAAATCCATTTAATGTCTGATGATTCCCAAGGCAAAATATACCAGAAAATATGTAATGAAACAGAGAGGAAAGTATCCCTCGTATACTCACAATAAATCTGCCGGTCTTATTAGAACAACCGTACAGGCGAGGGGGATGATCTTCAGCCTTTGTCAAGAGTTGTGATGAAGTCTGATATTTTTTTTTACCTCCAAGTGCTTTCCAGAAGTCCTCTGAAATACACAATATATAATGTATTCAGCAGTGGATTTAACATTTGATGGTTTAGCTTGTTAGATACTGTTTCAAAAATCCCCAAACAACATCTTCTTTTCCGCCTCAAAGATGGGTGCACTTTCTTACAGTTCTTCCTGCAGTTTGTCAAAATAACAATAAAGATATCACTTGCAGACCTAGAAAGAGCAATGCGCTATGTCTTTCTCCCCTCCTAGGTACTTGGGGTAAAGAAAGGACCACATTTCTCTGCAGCTCCTGCTACCGTCCTGCAGACTTCCAGGGCATCGCACTGCTTGTGCATCAGCCAGTTCTGGATAGATCGCCATGGTAAAATATCAGGTTGGATTTTCAAAGGGAGAGAGTGAGCATATGCTTCTGCCTACAAAATATATGATGAATATATGATGAAAATATATGATCGCAAAAACCATTTAGGCTGTATTTCCATGCAGTGCTGTGTATTCCCAGCTGCCTATTAGCAACCACGTGGCCTCATACTAACCTGGTTCCTGGCCTTCATTAATCTTAGCAGTCTGGCATTTAAGAACACTGGCAATGTATTGAGCTCCTTGTTCCTCTTCTTTGTTTGCTCCTTTTCCTACCCAGGTGTAGCCAGAGTTGTTTGGCAGTTTCAGAACAAAGACATCATTAGAGTTTAGTGACATTGCGTCAACATCAACCTAGATCAAGAAAGAAATTGTTACGTTTTTCAGATTTTCAAATAATGTGATCACTATTTTGCATGTTTATATAAAACTTGTAGATAGATGTTAATCAGCTATGCTTTTTTCCTTCAATTTTTCCCTCGATTTATACTGATACAAATTAGAGAAGAACTAAGAGACAGGGAACTGACTTGAAGGGTAAAAGCTAGGTCTATTTGGCAGTAAGAAAGACTGTCTCATAAGGGTTGCTGATTTCTTGTCTATTCTTTGTCAGCTGACTGTTCACTACATGTTTTCTTACAGTATGCTCTGAAAGATGTAGATTGGTTGCAGCCAGTTACGGCATCTTCTCTGTGATTTATTAGATGGGTTGGTCACATAGAGCAGTGGATTTGATTTGGAGTTCTGCATTCCTACCAGATGTGACTACCCAACAAGATTAGTCGGAGAGGCTCCTGACAGCTATACCATTTCCCATGGGGAATAGTTGGTTTACTTAGCAGGTGACCTTACCTCTGCAATCCTGGTAATGGCTGCCAGGTTCCTGCGGATTTGGAAGAGTTGCGTGGGAGGCGCAGGTTTCTGACCTTCCTTCTTGGATGTCCCATCCTTGTAGACAATAAGCGGTTTGTTTTTGAACAAGCTCAGTAAATGTGCAGGCTCTTTGCCTTGGCTGACTCGGATCTGTACATACGTAAAGAAATGCAATAAAAGAAACGAAAGGACACAAGTAGTTATTTTTGGTCTTTGTTGAATAGAATAGGAGACGTTAGCCAATAATGCTAAGTATGTTAGCAAGAATGAGAAATGGCAAGCTGAGAAGATCTAAAAATATAGTTCCAGACACATTAAAGTTAGAGCATTTGTGAGATTTTTTTTGTCAATCATGCTGACACAAAGACAAGAGTCAAACTTCTAACATAATGTTTAGCTGATTAAAATGGCTGCTATCTACTGTAATAAGAAAATTATCTTTTTCAAAAGAACTGTCATTTCATAGAGTTTTATAGAGTGACTTAATTCCCCTGAAAAACTATCTTGGAAGTTTAGGTGCCCCGTATTTAAGCAGAAGAGAATGGTTATTCATCCTGTTCGTTATTTCTATGTGTATTTTACCTGCAAGAGGATGAAAAAGATGAGCATGAATCTACCTTGCAGAGGATAACATGGATGACAAAAATGAACTTCCATTACAGATGCAAAAGATGTTATTGCAATCTCAGAAAAACACTGAGCTATGAAGAACGACTATTTGTAGGTCAATGTACGATAAAAGTTATTTGTATACAACCCTTTGTGCTTCCTTTATAACAGTACCACCCGCCAAGGTGGAGGGCTGCGACTTTCACTCCCGGAAAGCAAGGGGAAGAAAGGGAACGAGGCCTGCTGTGTAGCCAGCAGAGGAGGAGAAGCGGAGAGCCCCAGCCCCATAGCCCTGCCCGGTGAGGCCCGGGGCAGCTGGCAGCCGGGGCGCCGAGGAGGGGCGGCTGCAGCCGGGCAGCCCCGGGTGCAGGGCAGAGCGTGGGGCGGCCGGGGAGGCGGGGGTCGTGCTGGGCAGCAGGAGCTGGTGCTTTGGCTTATCTCACAGCTGGAGAGACTAGTATAGTTGCCTGATAAGGATACCCTAGGACACGGATACTTGGAGGTGCCAAACTGCGGCAGGATTTTACAAATGCCAAAAAAAAAACCAAACAAAAAAAACCAGGAAAAAACCAAACTTGCTGAGGGAAACATATTCCTGCAAAACAAACAGGGGAACGACTTTTTAATAGTCATTTGTACTGTAGTGCCATCTAGTGACCACAAAATAGTACATTCAAACTTTTCAAATAATGCTAATACAGACGTTAAGCACAGGTAATATATTCTAGGTAGCCATGTACACGCATACAAATGCATACATATGTGTGTGTGTGTATATACACATACATATACATTCACACACATATATATTCCTAAATTCATTGCAGGCTAAAAGTACTTTTAAGTATCATGTCCATTGCAGTGAGATGGATATCCTTCAGCTTTAATAAAATGGCTTTTAAAGCACATTAATATTGCAGCTGTTAGTAGTAATATTATTATTTTTGTAGTATTAGTATTGGCCTTAGTTATGAGGCAGGACCATATTGTGCTGAACTCTGTCCAAATATAGAATATGTGTTAGGAATATTTCAAGGACTAATTACCTAGAAGTGTTCTAATCCTTTGTGCTGGTTTTGGCTGGGATAGAGTTAATTTTCTTCATAGTAGCTAGTATGAGGCTGTGTTTTGGATTTGTGCTGAAAACAGTGTTGATAACACAGGGATGTTTTAGTTATTGCTGAGCAGCGCTTAGACAGGGTCAAGGCCTTTTCTGCTTCTCACCCCACCCCACCACCACACCACCAAGTAACTGTTACACGTGATGGAGCCCTGCTTTCCTGGAGATGGCTGAACACCTGCCTGCCGATGGGAAGCAGTGAATGAATTCCTTGTTTTGCTTTGCTTGCCTGCGCGGCTTTTGCTTTACCTGTTAAACTGTCTTTATCTCAACCCACAAGTGTTCTCACTTTTACTCTTCTGATTCTCTCCCCCATCCCACCGGGGGGGAGCAAGCGAGCAGCTGTGTGGGGCTTAGTTGCCAACTGGGGTTAAACCACGACATCCTCCCTTAATATAATTTCAATCATAAATTGTAGCTGATTAACAGCTAAAAGTATGGTCTGCCATCTAAATTAACTGTATCTTGGTGGGTGGGGAAAGCCCTTTACATTGGTAATTAAGAAATGGGAAGCACAGAACTATCTCCTACTGCCTAGAAAATCTCTGCCTGTCCCTAGTCATCTTCCAGCTCTAGCCTTTCTGTGAAAAGAGAAGTCCGCTCCCCTCTCCACCTACCCACCACTCCTCACTAGTGATGAAAGGAGAGCACACATTCTAGTCATGCTAGGACTAGCTCATCTCGTCCCACCTTTTAGCTGCCAATGTCCTGCACCTTACCTTGCACACCCCATTTCTGCAAGTAAGGATGTGTATCCTGCTTTCATGGAGCTGCAAGCACTACAGGATAGGAAAACCCAAGTTACGTTCCTCGCTACGGCAGGGACAAGTCAGACCCTGCAGCACAGTTCCTGCAGGCTCTCCCCTTCTGGCTGTCACGTGGCTTTCATGTCTCCCAGTTTTGGCCCTCTAAAAGTCACGCATCTTGTCTGGGCTAAATATCACAGCTTCCTACATAAACAAAAGGAGACAGGGGAGCTCACACAGGGCTATTGCCCTGTCAGACACCTGATTCAGAGTGAGTTGCCCTGGTAGGATCTTATCCGTCGGTCTCCACTGACCAAGTACAGAGTTTGTAAGGCTAGGCAGGACTAAAACCTAATCTTTAGACAGTGAAAGTTGAAGGAAAGAAAAGGCAGGTTGTGTTATATCTGTGTTCTACGTTCAGAAAGGATGATTCAAATGGGAAATCTCCAGCGACTTTAAAGGGAGCCCATGGTGCTTGGGTCGATACAGACCATGAGCAGTTGATATTCCCAGTCTTCAAATGCTACCTCCTCCTTTCAGTTCTCATTGACATTTGCATATATTGCACTCTCTGTTGAATTTTATCCAAAAGACACTAACCTGCACAGCCTGACCATTCAATAACCGATCCAGCTGAACAGTCAGAAATGCAGACGCAGTCAGTTCATCTTTTGTAGCGTGGGCTCCTTGCCTGAGGAAGACAAGGAGAAAGATGATGATGAAGTCCAGTTTCAAAATAATCCAGAGCTTATACTGCATGACAAATGCACAGTAAACAACCTTGCATTTACACGCGGTTCTACTCAAAAGGACATAAAGTCAGCATAAAATAATATCCACATGCTGGAGGTCTGTGCAAAGCCGACCAAACACACCATGTGTAGATGATCTGCCCTTTAGGGTAAGTGTAGAGGATAATGTAGCAGTCACCACCGTAGAACTGTCCGTACGTCTCGGGTCCCACAGGAACTCTGCCGCTGCTTTCCACACGCCAGATCTGGGGAAACAGAGAAATCACTGGAGAATGCTGAACTTCACCCTGAGACTCTTCAAGAAGCAATTTATTGTGTCATCCCTTGAGTGACCTTTGTTTCTGTTCCCAAGTGTTACGGACTAAAACCAGGAAGGATTCTTCATGAAGCGGATAGATACACCCTGCGCCCACAGAATGAATGAATAATGACCATCAACAAGCCATTGCAGTACACTTTTCTTTGTCTTGATGCTTTAATGCCACATGATGACCTCATAATCCTGTGTTGAACTCACTTTCTTAACATCTTAAGATGATAATATGATATGAATGGCACAACATTATGATTCATCACAGAACTATCGTATCATTTGGGAGAGGCACACTGTAGTCAGGTAACATGCTGTTAGGCAGATTTCTTCCTATTTGATTCACTACAGCCCAGTTCAGTTAACAACTGCTCTCCAAAAACATACTGCTGAAATTATTCAGCAAAAAATACTTCAGATCTAAGCTGCTTTGGCTCAAGCCTACAGACCATCCCAAGTATGAGGTTAGACACCTAGAAAATATACCAACGAGACTGCAGGTATTTATCTTTTTCTTCCAGAATCCCAACATGCAGACCTGTATTCAACAGGCTGTGTTGGTACAATGCCAAACCAGCCCTGTGTAGTCCAAAGGTATTCCTGCAGTGGGATATGGATAGATCTAGAAAGACTGTACAGTCATCTTTTTCTCTCTAAATCCAGGCTACCTGAGAGACATACTAGGGACAAAGAATGTTCCCCTAGAAGGCAGACTGGATACATACATAAAGACACGGAATAAATTTCTGACTCCAAGGGCAAGTTTTCCCATTCCAGATTTCAAGCTGATGTGAGCTAGAAGTTTTTCTTTAGCCTAAGGATCATATTTAAAGTATCTCTTTAAGAAGTATTGTGTAGAAGGGGAAATGTTTCTGCTGTTTGATTTCTATTGATGACTGGTACAACATCTTTCATAAGCACCAAAAAACATGACCCAGCATACAGCTGACAAAGAGATTCACTTTCTACTTCAAAGTACCTCTTCTGATGGTAGAAGTAACACTGCCACTAATGTAGCGTTACTCTACACAACAGTGTGAATGACAAAACATAGAGTAGCAGCTTATCCTGTAATAGAATAAGCTAGGTAGGTAGAATACAATTTAATACAACACAAAAAATTACCTCTACTTTCCCTGAACCGTCGTCTACCATGTTATGCTGGGCAGCCATTTGTGGACACTCATGTAACTTGGTAGCATCAAATTCAATCTGCTCAATTTTAGCCACTCTCTCTGTGACATATACTTTGCCAAAGCCATCAGTTTGATCTATATCCTTCCAGTCTTTGAAAAATTGTTTGAAAATTGGTGTTTCACCTCCTTCAGGAAGGACTTGAATCTGAAATGAAGCAAGACACATGAAATGGAAGGAAAACAAAACTGACACAGTTACTCGAACAGAAATTTTTCTGAATTATCTGTTAGTGAAACATTGCCCTTATGTCTTATAAGCCCTTAAAAGTATTTTTTGCTGATTTAAAAACAAAGTCTTTAACAGACCTCATGCTCTCCTGGTATCATCTCATAAATAGATCGCACCTGTGTGTTGACAGGATAATTCATCTGCTGTATGAATTGTTCAGCATTCTTCATGGCAGCTTTTCTCTCTTGTGGGTTAGCATCTTTGCCTGGTTAAAACAGAAGGATAACAATACATGGGAAAGGGCAATGAGCTCACAGATCCTGCAAAAACAAGATGCCCTTGAGCCAGGTTCTCTTCGACACTGCTCTTGCCTCAGTCTTGAACAAACACAAATGCTGGACATAGCATGAGCAATAAGATTCACACAAAGTTGAATGGCCCAAACAGTACCTCAGTGGCTTTCAAAACAGTTAAAATAGAATAAAATTAAAAAAAAAAAAAAAGGAAAAAAGGAGCATTGTTTTTTGCTTAGTGTGTGTGTTTCTATCAAAAAATGCTGTTCATAATATCTGCTTGGTTCAAGGTACAAGAACACCCTGGCTCTTTTCTCTGAATCTTCCCTTCCTGGGCTGCAATGTGGTAAGTAAAGCTGCTGTCCAGAACTGCCTTCACTTCTGCAGGCGGTGCCACAGTCTGAGCAAGAGAACTGCCATTTCATCTGGCTGGGCTGTGCAATTTACCACCACCCTTCCCCATTCGTTGCTCCTTGTTCAGCCTTGCTCAGTGTTAGACATCTCTGAAAGTCTCTGTGGGATGATACTGTGTACCAGGTCTGTGTCCCAGCTGGCTGTCAGTGACTATACTCCAAAGACCTCTTAGTCTAATAAGATGCTCTGATAAGCTATTCATTGTATTCCATTTTGAATGAGACTATTAGCGAAGTAATTCACACTCCTCAGCTTAGTGGTCTGAAGATTTCCAGCAGAGATGATAACTGCAGCCTCCCGGTGCAAGGGTGAGACTCACAGACTAATGGGTTTTTCCACACATTATTGTTCCCAACAGTAGCAAAGTGAGGATGCACATAGGGCCACATTCAAAAAGGCCTAAATTGTATTTTATTTATTTTATGCACTATCCTATTGGCTTGGTTCTTCTAGGAGCTGCCAGGTAGAGAGTGAAAACCAGGAATGAGGGGGTCAGGTAGACCTTAGACCATCTGAGCACAACGCTCCCAAAATGCTCTCTTTTAAAGGATGTTCCCCTAACTGCAAATGAAGTTTTCAAGCAAAATGCTTCCTGGACTGATTTCAGCAGTTTGACAACTGCATTGATCAATTATTTGCTATTGCACATGGTAAAAAGAAATGCAAATGCCACAGAATAATTAATACACTGCATCAGACAAAAAAGGGGAGATACTCAGCACTGGATGCAATAGCAGCATCACAACAATCCAGCTACAAGGTGTCCAGACCTAATTCCCCAGTAGTATTCTTCTCCAGGGAAATGTTCAGTCAAAGCAATTGCAGACACTCCTACAAGCATTGATGATACCACAGAGAAATATTCACAAGAAAAAAAGAAGCATCAAAGTATTTGCAAGCTTATGCTTTTAGTTGATGCCTGGGACACTCACCTTTCAGTTTCACACCTCTGTGGAGCGATGTATGGAAATATAATATCCACCTATTGTCAAACCTTCAGTGTCCAGATTTTGTCCCAGAAGATAGGGATTTGATGACAATATACGGAACTTGTAAAATTCTTTATGTTTGCTTTGTAACTGCCACTTAGATAAGAATTTAAGCACCCAAGCTTACAGATACCTCAAAAACAGCCAGGATCCTTAGACAAGACTCTGTCTTGAGGCCCTTACCAAGTGAGCAATCCTTGTCCTCTGACCACACCAAGGAAGAACTGTGTGCAAGGTACTGTGTCCAGCCAGTATTAAATTCTTGCTAGTGTCCTGAGGGTGTTGTGTCAACTGCTTAGATATGTTTGTGTAGCTTCTGCATTTGCAAGAGAAGTGATCTCTTACCTTTCCACACAAAGATCTTCCTTGCAGCACCATTGTCCAAAATGAAGCACTCTTGAGACAAAAGCATAGCCATGGAGAAGGGGTTTTCCTCTGCTACCACGGACACCTTCATGGATCCACTTGCATCTGACACCTAAGAAAGCAATCATTTCAAATTTAGATCAACTCTGGCTTTTATAACCGAATTAATTTCTGCTCCCAAAATTACTATAGAAATCAGTCGCCATTTCTATATAAATGGCTGTATGAAATTTGTGTGCTGCTGGAAAGTAAGGTAGGCTAATGATTTTGTTTGTTTGTTTCATTTCATTTTACATCCAATAGAGGGAGACGTAGTGTTAATTTTAGTGAGTTTGTTGTATCCCTATCTTGCAACTTCTTAAATCCGTTTCTCTTCCACTTTCAATTCAGTGGAAGATTCAGTTCAACTGCTCATTCAGTGAACACCTCACAGTTAAAAATCCGTATTTTCTTCAGCCCCTCCTATATGCTCAGCTGAATCGGTGGAGTCCCATCTTCTGCTACCAAGCAACCCGCACTGAAGCCAAAGGTACACATACGTGCTGAACAAGAGCATTTGAAATTATAATAAAATAGTCCTACGCCGATATTAACAAGTGAAATACCTACATTTGTAACCTACAGTTCTTTAATTGGAAACTGTAATATAAGACCTGTTGCAGAATCTGCTGTGTGACCTCTACCACCACTGTAAGTTCACGTAGACCTTTAAAACCTTTTACAATTCACTCCTGCGTGGCTGAAAAGACAAGTTATTACTACTGAAAAGAAGTTATTACTTTGTAATAACTTTTCTAGCAGTCTTTATTTCCTTTCATAATTAATTTTAAATACACCATTCAATATTACTTTTAAATACACCATTATATCTTATATTGTATATTATGGAAGCACAAGATGGAAATTACCACTGCATACATCAAATAAAAATCAACTATTACACCTAGTGTGAGGGTTCACCGTAGACCTGTCTCCTGACTTTGACACTCACTGTCACTGTTATACTGCAGCACATTTAAATTTAGCTAACAGAGCTCTGTTAGCAGGACCCGTGTACTTAGAGGAATTTATTAGATAGCCACAGAATTTTCTGAGAGTTCTTAGGATTCCAAAATTCACTGCAAACACTTTTCTCTTCTCTAGTATTGTCTTACTACACTGGTCCTGATCATACATGCAGGCCTTCTTTTTCTTCTTTTTTTTTTTCTCGGGTTCCCCCCCCCCCCAAAAGCCCTGCTATGAAGATAAATATGTGCCAGATTTTTTGGCAAGAATGGAACGATTAATGGGAACTAAACACAGCACATAGACAGCAAGGACTGAAAATGGCCTTGTAACAATGATCACCTCATACAGGCTTCTTGTAAATCCCAGCCACACATATGGGTAGGGGAAGAATCACGTAACAGGCAGGGAGAGAGGTGGCTCCATCCTGCTGTGGTCTGCGGGATGCAGGAGCTGCAGAGGGAGGGACTCACCCTCTCTCACACTTCACAGCAGCTTCAAAGCTACTGTAGATGGCACCTAAAAGGTCACACACATGGGGATCCGGCAGCACTTAGTGCTGTCGGAGTGTTGCCACTTGTTGACCAAACCCTTCTTGTTAAGTGACTATGGGGAAGGGAAGAAAGTGCATTGTATGCCGGTGAAAGATTCTTTTCTGTCACACAAGGCAACCTTATTGCGTGAGCCAGAGCACAAAGTGCTGAGGAGAAAGGTCCAGATCTCAATGCTAATGAGAGCTTGTAAAAAAAACACTCTTCTTGCAGTCTTCAGGAGAAAGTAATTTTTTTTTATTGGGAGGGGGGAGGATAAAGTCTTTTCTAGATTTCATTAGAAACATCCCCCTTTTCCAAATACTTTCTCCCTTCTTTTCTCAAGTGGGAGAATATGAAAGAAAGGGGAACTGTGGAAAAAAAAAAGAGAGAAAATACAGGCCTGGAAATAGTTTGGGTTTTTTTCAGAAAAAGAAAATGAAATAGTTGTGGAGCCTTGTATATAGGTAAGGTACTGTATTGTTAGTTTGAAGAATGAATTCCATGCCTCTTCTAGGAAAGAGCGATATGCCTAGCATGACGTGAGGAAAAATCGTAACTTTACTGAATGTAATCATAAAACTCCTACGGATTTAAATGGAGCAAATATTTAATCCATTTTGTTTATAGGTTATTTTTCTGGCAGTGGCACTGTCCTAGTCAGTGTTAAGCCATTGCAGGTGAGGAAGGAGGAAAAGGGCATTGCAAAAGAAAGGAGTTATGCATTCAAATTCCTTTGGATTTATATATAAAATATAACGTAACTGTCCATCTCTCAAACTCAGTTAAGAATAACTAAATCATATATGACTACTAAAACTCTCACTGTTAAAATCAAGAAGACAGGAAATATAGCTTGATTTAAGATCAGTTCATTCTTCTTTGACCCACACTGAGTGGTTCATAGGCCATGCTTAACTTGTTTCCTGAGTAAAAAGGACTGTAATCCATTTTTTTTTTTCCCCCTCAAATTAACCAGGCTGTCTTGATTGACATCCTTTGAGAAACTTTTCCATTGGCTGCAAATCAGCTAACACAACTGCAGTTCTGTAACTGAAGCCAGAACTCCATATATGAGGGATGAATGAATGCATGAATACTGCTGAGTGTACCTAACTTTAATAAATAAATAAATAAATAAATAAATTAATTACCATATATAGTTTAGCGCTTCTCCTGTTTGTAATATCGGCCAGCTCATCATCGTCATCATCACACTCGGGAAGCGCTGGCTTGCTCCCTAAAACCTGTACAAGAGAATAACAAATTCAATGCAGAGAGAGAGTAGGTGCTGTAGTATAAATACCTAAACACTGTAACGTGTTGTCCCAGTAATTGATTAATCGGGATCATCTTTACGTATAATCCAATCTAAATCCAAACTCATGGGTGACTTGTTCACAAACATATGGATAATTTTAAATAACTGTGTCAGATCTCCAGCAGCTTTAGATCTCCTGCAGGCCAACTTGCTCGTCATCTAAAGACTAGGATAGGAAATGATATATAGAGAAAAGCTTCAAAGGATACACACACACAAATACACAGAATAGAAAGGTTTATGTGATCCTGTTCTATGCGTGTGTTTATATGTCTGTCTTCCCCTTTTCCTCCCAGTAACTTCTGAACTGTCGGCAAGCACGTCTTACAATTTTTGAAATGACATTACTCTTAAAATGTTTAACAATACTAAAATTAAAGCAGACAAAGTGAAATATATGAGTTGAAATTATCTTTTAAAATATTTCAATTGACAATATAAAATACCAGATTATGAGTTCAAAAATCTTAAAAATTACAGATTCTTAATCCCATTTTAAGGGGGAAAAGTTAGCTAAAGTCTTGAAAAAAATTTATGGGGTGAGAAAAACATTTTCTTGCTCCACCACCAGAATATCAATTTTAACACCGTGGTTGTTTTACATCATAGTAGTTTTACACCAGGGGTAATGTTGTAACAATTATCACTACAAGAAATTTACAGAGGTTCATCAAGAATATGTTATGGTCAAGTAGTCATTATTAGATCCTAGTTACCCCTTCTTAATGATCTTTCCTTAATGATTCATATATGACCAGATCCAAATGTTACATACAGAATATTATGGATTTCTATGAAATTATGTCCCAGAGTAAAGGTAGTAGTAATTGATATGTCTGAGTAACTAAATATTAACATCAAGTACAAGGGCAGTGCCAGCCTTCCTATTGATGCAGTGCATTTGCGACATGGAGTCACATGCAAAAACACTGTAAATATTTGATAACAGGGAAGCCTGACAAAGCATACAGCTGCAAAGAATTTGGAAAAAAAACAATTTAGCCTAAATATTTAATATAAATCTGCCATCTGTGGAGTTTCCTGACCTGGTAAAGCCAGTAAAATAGTAAAAAAAATCCCAGCCTTGTTAAGTGTGATTGCTGCAGTTTAAGCTAAAATATTTTACCTGTGACTCATTGAAGACAAGAAAGTAATGCCCTGAGTGTTTAAGAAAGATATTACCAGTAGCTCTTCAGTAGCTATCAGTCAGCATTTCCTGAATTTACGCTACACGGCTTCAGATTTACTAATGTATAGGTCAAGTAGGGCTACGTGTTCATAGCAGAGTGCCACCATGCTGCTGAATGGCTAAAAACAGTGGGCACATGTGGCACATCGGCACAAGGTTTCTGAAAATGTTTCCCTTCCTAGATTTTCACACTAACCAGCAGCCTACAAACAAGTCGCAGAGCACCAAGAATAATGTTGTCTTTGTAATGGAAGGGTCAGAAAATTGCCAAATAACAGGCAGGCATCTTTACCTGAACAGACACTGAATAGGTTTGAGGGTTTTATAACATTTGGCTTTCAGTAACAATTAAGAGGGTAAAAGAGTCCTGTTACTAAAACTTCCAGAAGTCCATACTCACTAGTTCTCTGCTTCATTAGGTATTTCCAGCAAAAAAATACACCAAAAAAATACACAAAAATTGTGATTCCTGATACAGTTAAAGTCAGCGTTTTCCTTTGCCACGCACATAGAATACCTGTGGCACCACAATTATTTTGCAGCTTTGTTGTAAGTCGCTTAAAGTGATCTAAAATAAACTGCTCTTAAAATTTTCCGCTTGCCCAGGGGTCTTCGAAAACTGTGCGAGTGCCACTCTGAATATTTTTAAACAAGGCTAAATGGTGCCTGTTGGTGTTTGTGAAAGCATCTTGACAGAAGCAGCCTCTCTATTCACAGCACAATCTAGGTGCTCCACTCTGGTGGCAATTAAACTAAGCAGCCTCTGTAATTTAAAAATTGGGCTTTAAAATTGGCCCCAGCACAGTTTAGATTGCTGGCCTGACCTGTTGGTGTTTTAAAACTTAAAGCAGAAATGTTTTTCTGAACTAGATAGAGAATTATTGTCAGACTCCCTAAGCCTTATCTTAGGAAATCTCAGTTCATCAGTACTGGCACAGAGAGAGGGGTCAAAACCTCCTTTGCGCAGGTGTAGTTACAGGTACGAGATGAACTGCCCTGGAAGGGGCAGAAACATTCTGGTTCTGGGGAAATCCATTCACCATTCACTACACAGCAGCTTGCACAGTAGCTTCTCTGGCCAAAGCCAGCCCTGTGCTTCAGCACAGGCGAGCAGAAAAATACTCATTTTTGTAATTCTTCTCCAGTTTCTCAGAGCAGCCCAAAAATGAATGGAGAAGGGTCTTGAGGGTGCTCCCTTCTCCTGCATTTGAAGTCACAGTTGCTTGTAGATCCTGGCATTTTGATGACCCTTGTTAAGAAGGGACAAGACATGCTTCTCCTCCCACCAGGTAAGAACATCCAGGACTTAAGAGGAGGGCTGTGCAGCCAACACAGCCATTAGAATAAGCCTCGAGCTGAATCACTAATGGGTATGTATACCTGTGTGTTCTGGTATCAATACCAGAAGATGATACAAGGTTAAAATGACCTAACGCATGTGAAGACACCAATTGTGAAGAGATGCAGCGTGTACCATATATACTCAATATACAAAGTGATACAGTATGAAATACATATAGTCAGTACACTTTTCTATTGCTAGGGACAACTTATGTCATTCCCAACGTGCATTAATTTCAGCCGGTTTGTCTTATAGACTGGAGGACGAGACAGATCACGGAAGGAAAAATTCTGTGCTTAAATAGAAAGCAATTTATCCTGAAAAAAATGTTAAGTTCTGTCCCAAAGAAATGCCTTCCAGATAAGTTGTCTTTCCTCCTTCTAAGGCAAACTCCCGTCCTACGGCTGAGTCCACATGCAGCCACACATGTGCCTGGATGTTAAGACAACTGATAATTTTATCAATAAGATTACAAAGTGTGTATTGAACAACAGCTAACTGCTATGCTGGAATTGGGTTGTATCATTACCTAAGCATATGGCTGGCTGAGTTGCAGCTCTCCAGGACACCTCACCTTTATACAGATAATTCTCATGTGATGCATCATAAAGAAAACAAATCATGCCAGCTGAGACTATAGTCAAAGGCTCCCAAAGCTTTTCAGCAAGGTTCCCCAATAAAATGACTTAAACCAACAGACAGTTTAAAGGACATTGAGTCTTCTGATTCTTACCTACATATACTCTTAATTTCACACAAATGCTGTGGTAGCTCTATACACAGGACCTTGCTCATATAATTCTCCCTAAACAGATGGTCAGGCTGCTCCACTGGGTCTTTACGTCTCACAACCCAGTGTACTGACAGCCCTAGGCTGGCTCTTCTGGGCTGCTCTGAGGTTTGAGACCCTGACTCGTAAACCAGCCAAGAATTCAGACCCACAAATCCACCCTACACACCTGAAAATAGCAATGCTCTCTTCGGGATGCAAAACAGCCTAGCCACACTTTTCCCTGGACATCCAACCATACTGGCAACTTCAAACTATACCTCTCATAAATACACAGGTGCGCACAAGTTTTGAAACCACTTTTTAAATCATTATTATTATTATTATTATTATTATTATTATTATTATTCTTTACTGCAGTAGAAATAATCTAAAGAATAATTAGGGGCCCTGAAAGCACACCCATGCCCCAGCTTCTTCATTCTTTGGGCTTAGCGTCTTTCTTTGCAGCTGCTGACTTCCAAACCACAGAGACTACTCATATCACTTCACCTTATCTGCCGTTGACAGACTAACATGTCAAACCACCCCTCGCTCTCTGTTGCTCCACCACAGTACGACGCTTATCCTCTCCCCACCATTGCTTCCTGCGTGCAGGTTTATCAGAGTCCTGGAGAAAAGCATGAGCAACTCTGGCCTCAGCGAAGGTGCACACAGACGTAGTGCCGCTATTCTGCAGAGACCGTGGTGTTCGCACCCTAACCTCACGGTATATGTGAGGTTGTTTAACCACTCGAGGCTTAATCTGCTTCACAGCTATTTCGGAGTAAGATATGCCCATAGCTGGCTGCAGCAGAGCCTACCTTGCTTTACATGGCCATAGCCTAATGCCAGCTTACCTCTCAATGAGAGCATCAGACTGCCGAGTTAGCGTTGTTTTAGCAAAAGTATTCTCCACACCTTTAGACCTTGTCTATGGGGGGTATAACAGGAAGTCAATCTGCATTAATTTTAAAAGTTTTGGCTTTTTAAGTTCTGTTAAACCTTTGTGTTGACGCTCTTAGGTTAGCGCAAGAATTTAGTAGTGGAAACCAACAGAACATCAGTTCCTCTACAACAACTGCCCAAGTTCACTCTTACCTTGTGGTAAACGCAATGTAGCTTATCCTGACTGCAAAACCATAACCCCCTTTCATATCCTCATGTGCAAGAGCTCTTCTCTGTAAATTTCTACACCCCCTCAGAGAAGAGCAAAAACTTTTACTGACAAGTGAAATTGCACTCCATTGCCCTTAAAAAAGAATCGAAGAAATCACAGACAAAAGGTTTCTGATCTGTAGGAATGTGGCAGGTAAATAATTTAAAATAAACTCATCAAAAGAAGAAATTTAGCAAACATTGTCTTCATAACTGGAGAAGCCAGCTTTGCATCAGAAAATAGTTGATATTGATTTAATGGGAGCAAGAAGTTTAAAGAGTTCAGTTGAGGCTGAAAATCCAACTAGGAAAACAATACTTGAAGAACACATCAGGTGAAGGTTAATTAAGAGAGAAAACCAGTTTTGTACAGTTTAAGTTGTGTACACTAGCACTGTGTTTGTGTTTCTTCTTACTATACACAGTTTGGGTTAGGTTTCTGGGTCTGAAACGGAACTATTTGTTGTG